GGGTGTGACCGCGCCACCGTGGGGTCACTCGGACACCCCCTCCCCCCACTTTCGCCGAGTCGGGGGGGACAGGACATCCCCGCTCGCAGCCCCCGACAGGAGTTGGTTGTTTCGCTTTCCTTTCACCTTTAATTTGAAGGGGCAGCAGGGACGTGGCCACACTATGGGGGCCCTTTGCACCCCCTATCCCCATTGCTCCCGTTCGATAACTCCAAAGCTCCAAAGGGCAGCATGATCCAAGGAAAAAAAGTAATCATTGCTGACGCAGGCAGGACGGGAGCTAGGCACTGTCCCCAGCAGGTCCCATCCATCACTTGGGATTTGGGGACAGGCAGATCCCCCCAGGACCCCCGCGGTCCAGCGGGCTCTCAGGGCAGCCTTGGGGCTGTGTTTCTGATCCTGCTGCCCTCGGGAGCTGTCAGGGTCTGCAAGGGGAGGGTCCTGCTCGGGGGCCGCATCCCCCAGCTCCCGCAGGCAGGGCAGGGCGTGCTGGCAGATACTTGAACATCTGAGCAGAGATTCAATTATATGCACTACTTCATTTATTTGGCTGTCCAGTCGCTCTGATCAGACTTGGAAATTAAGAGGCATGCGGTTAGAGGGATCCTGTCAAATCACATTTAGCCCAGCTCTTCCTTGCTTGGATTTTAAAATGCAGCTCTTTTTTTTATATGACCTGCAGCTACAAAACAACTTTCTGTCTCTCTTCCTAAAGAATTACAAAAAAATCCAGTGGAATGGGGTGAGGGCAGAACCAGTTCCCCAGCTCTATTTCCAGCCTGAACTCTGCAGCTGGAAGTCTCGGAGCGCTTTCCAACCCTCGCCCTGTGAGCGGGGTGCTGGGGCAGGAGCAGCTCATTGCACGCAGGGCCCTGAGGGCAGGGGTGGGAAGGAGGATGGGGGAAGGCAGTGCAGAGTTTTGCAGTCACTTTCCTCGCTGAAGGCCATCAGGATTTGCAATCCTCCTCCCTCAGTTTGGGACAGCGCTAAAAATGCCCCTGGTCCACACCCAGTGCTTGCACGTGCCGGCAGAGGGGCCTGTGCGGGACTGATAAGGCCGAGCTGGAAGCTGCGGGTGAGTCCGTGCAGAGAGTCCTGTCACCCTGTCCCCATGGGGAGGGACCTGGGAGCCACCAGCGATCCCCTCCTGCTGCTGTCGCAGCTCCAGCATCCGCTGGGATAGAATGCTGCAGGATGAAGGGATGATTCCCCCTCCTCATTTCACCCCAAGGGATAAACAGAAAGTTCCTCAGCAGCTGATAACCCCAAAGCTGGGGCTGCCTGCAGCGTGTCCCAAACTGCAGCTACCCAGGAGGGAACAAACTGCCCCCAGGCTTGTGTCCCAACAGGGAAATCCAGATTAGGAAGCTCAGCCCCAGCCTTATTCCACCTGGCATGCCTGCTCTTTGTGCCTGGAGTTTCCAGAAGGATGCAGGGATGCAGTGGAGAGGTTTGGGCTGCAGACAGCAGAGCTGTGGCAGTGTAGTCCCAGCCTGAGCACAGCCAGGGCACATCACACAGGAGGATGTGGGCAGAGGGAGTGGAGCAGAGTTTGTGGCAGCAGCTGGAGCCCCTTCCTCCTGCTGACTCAGATTCTGCTCCACTCAGCATTTGAGGCTGAAAATGACCACACTGTGCTGGGAAGTGGAATCTTGCTGGGATGCCAGGGACTGGCCGGTGTTGTGCAACAGGAAGGCTTGGATAGGTCAGGATGCTGCTGAAATCTGTCTGCTGTGCATCACCATTGCTGGGCTCCAGCTCTGATCCAGCACCCTCCAGTTCCAGCACAGGGCTGAGCCTGGTGCTGTGGTGTCACCAGTCCCACACTGGGATCACATCTCACAGCCTGGTACCAACAGTCTGTCCCCTGGGAGGGACTCATGGCGTCCCTCTGTGCCCTGAGCAGGGTTTGTTTTCCCCCTCCAGCCAAGGAGCTGATCCTCGGGGTCCCAGCCCTTTTCTGCTGTCCAGAGGAGGCCACAGGGCAGCACCCACAGGTCTGGGCAGGATTTTTAGGCAAGCTCCAGCTTTCAGCTGCAGCTCCATGTTTGTGTGAGAAACAATGTGCTTGGTTAACACTGCAGGGTTGAAAACTGCGTTTAGGCCTTTGAAGTGCCTTTGGCTTTTGCTTTTCAATATCCAGGGCTCAGGGGAGGAAATAGAGAGAAAGCCCCCCAGAGAGAAAGCAGCTGGGCTTGGGTTCAAAGCCTATGTGGGCCTTGTCTGTGTTTGCTTGTAGGGGATTTAGTGCCTGTGGGGACCAGGGAAGCTCCAAAGGGCTCAGAGCAGGGTCAGCCCAGCCCTGGGCTGCTTTTTGTTGTCCCTGACCCAGCCTGGAGTGGCCTCTGCTCTGGGTGCTTCACTGCTTTCCCTGAGGGCAGCTGGTCCCTTTGTGTCTGGAACCCACTGATAAGGGGCTGGGGGGAGCCACTGGCCCTGGGCAGCAGTGGGGACAACCAGCTTGGAGCCAGTGCCTGGAGCCAGCACCCAGAGCTGGCACCCAGAGCTGGCACCCAATGCCGGCCTGGAGCCAATGCCCAGAGCCAGGCTCAGCCCTGGGGCCCTCACAGGCAGATCTTTGTTGTGGACTTTGTGACAGGTCCCAAGCAGCTGGCAAGGGGACCAGGAGGTGTCCTGGAGGGTGATCCATGGGGCAGGAAATAATCCTGGTGGTGATGAAGGCAGCAGAGCTCTGTGTGCTCCCAGCGCTGGGACAGGAGATGGGATGCTCCAGTGCCACCTCCCTCCAGGCAGCTTGTGGAGCTCATGGCCATGACTGGTGTGATGGATGTCACCACCCAGGGGAGGTGACACATGCGGTGTCCTCCATGGCCCCTGCTCACCTCTCCTGGGAGGGTTTAGCTGTAGAACCCCAGCTCAGCTCGTGTGTTCAAGCAGCTCAAATCACTGCCTGTGTGCAGATGGGGGGGGACACCCCCAGTGCCAGGGGGCTGGGAGGGGGTTCCCAGCCCAGGATGGTGCTGGGAGAGGCCTCTGCTCTCCTGGCTCAGCAGCTCTTCCTGCTGAGTCAGCAGGTGCAGCCTCCAGCTGGCTCTGTGTGCTGGGGTGGGCACCCACCCCCCCAGGCCCAGGGGCACAGAGCTGGTGGGGCACAGCCCCAAGAACCCCAAATCTGGCTCCTCACTGCAGAGCCAGGCATCTCCAGAGGGGGAGCCTGAGGCTGCTGCCCTTCCTCACTCCAGAGCTTGTTCCTGCCTCCTCCTCCTCCTCCTCCCCTGCCTCCCTCACAGGGCAGCTCAGTGGCCTCCCCCTGTCCCCCTGCATGGGGACCACTGGGCTTGGGGAAGGAGAGACTTGAAACAACTGGGGAGGCAGAGGGCTGGGACCCCTGCCAGGCTTGTAATTACAGCCCAGGCTGGGCCCTCGCAGGCGAAACCTGAGCCCCATGGGGAGCAGGGAGAGGAGCGTCCGTCTGGCAGCACAACTGTCTGTCCTGGCCCCGCTCCATCTGCGTGGATGCAGGGGATTGAGGCCTGGAGTTCTCATCCCCCCACTCTGGTATGGCTGGAGTGCTGCAGGCTCCATCCTGCCTGTGAACATCTCTGCTGATGCTTGGGGAGCTCAGATGAGTCTCTGCAGGCCCCTGTGTCCTGTGTGTGTCCTGTGTGTGTCCTGTCTCTGCCACCTCCCCAGCATTCCCAGCAGGGACCCTCCATCCCTGCTCACCCCCCCTGTCCTCTGGGTAGGGATGCTGGGGAGGATGGGGGAGGGCCAGTTCCCCTTTCCCTTTTTTG